GCCGAGCCAGGCCACCGCGGACGCCGCTGCAGGGATGGCGGAGGAGGAGCGCGAGACCCTGCTGGCCCTCCAGCTCGCCCTCTCCGAGGAGCAGTTCCAGGCCTTCAAGTACCTCCTGGAGGGGCAGATCCCGCTGAGCAAGCTGCGTCCTGCCACCCGCCCCGACCTCTGCAGCCTCCTGCTCCAGCACTTCCCCGGCCAGGCCCTGCACAAGACCAGTGCCCTCTTCCGCCAGCTCTCCTACCTTGACCTCATCCAACGTTTCCAGCTCCCCGGCTGGGAGGACGTCTCCAGCCCCTCCACATCACCCGGCACGGGCGGGAGGGCAAGCTGCCGGCGGCCATCATGGCCTCCTCCATCAGGAGCGCTGGTGAGGACGCGGCCGGAGCCGGCGAGGACGCGGGGTGGGCTCTGCCCGCCGAGGCCACGTGTCCTCCCAGCCCCGTGTTTCTGCCCGGCAGGTAAGCAGCGCGTGCTGCTGGAGAGGGAACTCATGCAGGTGGCCCAAAAAATGGGCAGGGAGTGGCAGGAGGTGGGGATCCAGTGCCTGGGCCTGGAGAGGAGCCGCCTGGACCAGATCCGAGAGGACAACCCCAACAGCGCCGTGATGCAGATCTTCGAGATGCTCCGGGAGTGGCGCAGGAGGGAGAAGCAGCACGCCACGGCCCAGCACCTCTACGCCTGCCTGGCCAGGGCCAACATGGACCCCGAGGTGCTCAGCTACCTCCAGAGCATTGGGGGGTTCTAAGGGGCACCGGAGCAGAGCTTGGGGGGAGCTGACCTGCAGTCGGAGGGTCTCGGGGCAAGGCCAAGATCTCACCGAGGCAGTGAGACTTCTGGCCCTGCCCGCCCTCGCCTGGCCTTTCTCATGGCCTTTTTATACTGAAAACAGAGCAGTAAAAGTATATTTGTCCTACCCTTGTAGCCCAGCAAGACATCCTTGGGGTCGGGCCGCAGAGGGGGCTGGGGGACAAGAGGGTACCCAGAGCCAGGTCCCACCCCGACACCTCTCATCAAGGAAGGGAGCTGGAGAACAAAAGGCGTTGGGGTAATTTCTGCTCGCTTTTCCCGGGAAACCTCATCAATGCCTGTGGATGCCTCGACGCCTCTGGAAGACCTCTTCCCCCGGAGAAGAGCCTGGCGGGTGGGAGAGCCGTTGCTGCGTTTGCTCCACGTTTATTAGGCGATGGCCCCAGTGCTCTGCCCGGACAGGGTGACGTGGGGATGCAGAGGAGCCGGGGTGGGGGCAGAGCGCAGGGAGCTTCGAGAGAGAATTAGCCCTGCACACCCTCGCTTGCGGCTCTCGGGTTGGGACGATCTCCAAGGAAGAGGGTGGAGAGGGGGATGAAGCAGGGAAAAGCTGAGGGAACAGGATCGCAGCCCGGGTTAACGTTGAGGTGGGGTGAAGCACGTTACGCAGCGGCTGGCAGAGGATGGGGCAGGGAACGCAGGTCCGCTCAACGAGCAAGCATCCACCGCGGCCTTCCAGCGTGGAGAGGAGCCGACGGAGCAGAGCAGGGGCCACGCGAGCCTAACACTCCCCGGCGGAGCCTCTCGATCTCATCCAGAAAGAAGTCCAAGTCCGCCCTGGTGACCGCAGGGTTGGTAACGACTTGGCGGAAGAAGTTGACCTTGGCACCGTGCGGCTGATAACCCACCATCATGGAGCCCGTTTTCATCATCCGCTCCTTGATCGCGGGAGCCACCTGCACGGAGACATGACGCGCTCGGATCCGTGGTGTGACGGGGCCAGGCCGCGGGCCTCAGGGCTTCGACAGGGGGCTAACGCGGGCGCTCCCCTTGCCCAGCCTGGGCCAGTAATCGGCAGAGCCCTCCTTGCCCCGCAGGCTGGGCGGCACGAACCAGAAGCAGAGATTGACAAACTCCGGCTGCAGGAGGAAGACACGGCATCACAGCGGGGGCCCCTAAAGCCGCACCACCCGTAGCCTCTGAAAAAGGGGGTCTGGAGGGCACGTGTTCTCCCCCATCCCCATTTTGGGAGCACCCTGGGCTTTAAATCTCAGCTCACAGACCCCCCCGAAGCAGCTGGGAAGTGGCAGGTCCCCTTCCGATGCCTCCCTGGTGCTTGCCCATGGCCCGGTATCACCTTAGGCAGTTGCCAAGTGGGGGAACGAGGCATAAAGAGCCGCTGAGCCATGCTTAGAGCAGGGAGCAGAGCCCAGGGGTCCGTGCTCGTCCTAGTACCACCGCTCAGTCTCTCCCAGGCACCCTCAGCTCCTCGGCTAGGCAGGCTGTACCTCTAGCACCAGCTGGAAGCCTTCCCTCCTCTTCGCCTCCTCCGCCAGGTATCTGGGGACAAACAAGAGGGCGACCAGACAGGGTCGGACAGGACCAACCGTGCTTCAAAAGCATGAGGCACGAGGGAAGCCAGCGACCTGGCCCAAAGCGGTCGCGCGAGGGCACAGCCGCCCCGGCACCTTCCCGGCGCTTACCTGGTGAAGGCGAAGGCCCGGTCCCCGCGTCTCTCCAGCCCCTCCGTCCCAAACGCTTTCCAGAGCAGCCCA